TACATTCTTAACAACTTTCTTGGCTATGCAGGTTGGGCACCCCATGCATATTTCAATATGCTAGCAGACTCTCAAAATAGCAACCAATCATCATCAACCAATGCAAATGCTCTTACATTTAGGCAATCGGAATTCGAGAGCGTATCTATCAGATCTGCACCAGATGCCAATGCCCGAAATTCAAGCTCAATCCTCGAAGACATGGAAAGTGGGAGAAGAAATTGAATATGGTGGTTGATGCTTGATGGTGCTGTCCAAATAGGTAAAATCACTGGAATTCATACTGCATTAGATCAAGACTAATTTCCTTTGCATCTGTAAGTACCCTAACATGAAAGATTGTTTGCTTCGATTGATCGAACAATCATTAGATGTGACTTATTTTTGTATATCTTGAGTTTGATGTTGCATTTTCTTGTGTTATATGTGCCCACCTCTGGTCACGAGTAGGCCTGTAAATGGATTGGATATGAATCGGATCTGCCTATATCCGATCCGATAGGAAAATTATTCGATCCGATTTGATCCGATAATCCAACAGATATTTGATTGTTAAATCCACATCCGATTTGCTATGTTATCGGATATCCGATCTGATATTCCGATTCGAAATTAATAAAAATTATTAGGGAAAAAAATCAATGTTGAAAAATTTTTGAACTAACTTAAGGCTCATCTATTTTTCTAGCAAGCCCAATAGTGATTTCTAACATCGTGATATTCCTTTTTAAATGAGAGATTCTTTTCTAGTTTTCTATTGACATTCGATGTTAGATAATGTAAAATTGAATTTCAATTTTAAATATAAATATTTTATTTCATTATTTCAATTAACAAATTAAATTATTTATTACATATTAATTATTAGTTTTTGAAGTTGTAAAATAACTTACAATAATAAATTTAATTAAGAAAAATATAGATATTTATTTACTTTAAATTAGTAAACTAAAATTAAAAAATCTATTGTTTTTATCATATTTTACATTTNTTTTTTTTTCAAAATTTCCAATTCTTAAACATGTCTAATAATTATAAATTTTTCAACTTTTTTATGTTTTGAATTTGATTACTTTTTTATTATAAATTTATTTATTTTAGTGATAAATAATATGTCATAAAAATATTTTATCGACTCAATTATTTATAACAAATCGGATCAGATTGTTATCGGATCAGATTGACCTATATCCATATTTGATCCATTTAGTTAACAGATTATCGGATTCAGATCTTGATCGAGTTATTGGACTGAGACCCTAAATCCATCTCTCATTAATCTCGTCGGATTCAGATCAAAATCCAATCCATTCGCAACTATTCTATCTGATATATGATTATGCTAATTGGAAGTTAAATTTGACTGGAAAGATCATCGAACTTGGAATTTTGTTATTGTAAACTATGGTAAAAATAGAAATGATTAATATGGTCTATTTGATAAATTAATAATCTATACCAAAATTTCTTTTCTCATAAAAAATGAGATTCAAAGACAAGCTAAGAAGTTTTCCTGGATTGTGAATTTGATTTTCTATGGCCCTTGTTTGGGCTCCATTAAAAATGCTTTTCGGGAAAAAGAAATGAATATTTGAATAGTAATATTTTGGAGAATGTGTGGTTAAAAAATAAAAAAAAAATTCCGAATTTATGTGTAATATCATTTTATTGAAGAATGTAAATTGAAAATACGAAAGAGAAATGTATTTTTGGATAATGGGGACCAAACAGGGCATAAATTCAATTCTAGTTAGATATTATCTAATTTGATGATTAAATTTGGCTACATTATACCCAGTAAAAAAAAAAGTAAAAGACCAAATTCATTTGACATATTACAATTTTCATTCTCATTCTTCTACTCATTTTCAACCACACATCTTTCAATAAAATAATAATTTTCATCACATCAATAATTTTTCCTTCCTTTTCAATCACACATTCTCTATCAATCTACTATTCCAAAATACATTCTTCCAAAATAATGTAGATCAAACACACCCTTAATAATAAATAAAATATAATACTCAATATTTCATAAGTTTACAAGTATCAATTTCTCAATTGATTATTAAATTTATAGTTTCAATGTTCTCAATGTTAATTAAGGACATGTTTGACGTAGATTTTGCGAAAAAAGATTTTTTGGAGAATGTGGTTAAAATATATAGAAAAATTATTGATTCACATGTAAAATTACTTTATTGAGAGAATGTGTAGTTGAAAATGAATTTGTGAAAAAAAAAAAGAGTTAAAAGGATTTTTACCAGACATGGTCTAAATATGAAAAGATTGTACGAGTACTTCCGTTAGCTTCATGAGGGTAGAAATGCGCCCATGGTGTTGCATAGACAATGTATCGTTGGCATTTGAGACTAATAATTCGATTTGTTCACGTGATCTTTGTTTAGATATTCAAGAACTAGAAAGAACATAAAGTAATGGAGAAAAATACGATAAGAACATAAATTAATGGAAAACCACTAATTGCCAATGAGGAAGGTGTTACACGATATTAAAAAATTGCTACGTGTGTTTGAGTCCCATTATTCCAATTTTTAATGACCTTTATTATTTCTAAACAGTAAATTAATTGTTAAAAAATTACAAATGCACCGAACTTTGTCGAGCATTTTAATTGTTAAAGAAAACATTGAAATTCAAAAGGTCAAAAACGCCCTCTTTTTTTGAAACCAATTTCCAAGACATTTTGGCATATTTTCCTTAGAAGTATGTATATATATGTGTAAGCAACGTGCAATGCACGATTGCTTAGTTTACCCCATCAATTTTCGGTTGGCAAGAAACAGAAACATAGATAAGTTATGCAGAGCATGGAAGCTCCATTCTGAATAATCTAAGAGAAAGTACATGGAAGTCAAAAGAACAATAGAAGCAAAACCATAAGATCAGCGGTCAAT